CTGCCTAGCTAGAATGTGCACAAGGAATGTAAGCTAATACTATAAAATCAGTATAAATAAAAGATATTTAGAAAGGTAAACTGCTAAAATAATTATCGCTCAATCCAAAGTCAAGTACATTTGGGTTATTTACTCCCTTCATTAGTGTATATGATAGAATAAGTGAAGGTTTAAGAGAGGAAAATGAAGTAGATTTCAAGTTTAGAAGCTGGATTCATGAGAAAAAAGTTTCTCAAAAATAATGTGAATTAGGAGGAACAACTCAGTAAAGGCGGGTGAGAATGGCTGCACAACTTGAAGAACGTAATCAATATCACTAAACTGTACATGTAGGAACTGTTGAATGGTGTATGTTCTGCTGTGTATATTCAAAACAACAATAAAAATGAAATAAATTATACATATGTATATAAAAAAATGTTGTGAATTAAAGTAATGGAAAAAAATCCACACATACAGAAAGGATTATTTTGCTACTCTATAGGAAGAAATAGGTTTTCAATGTAGCAAAAATGGCTTACATTATAAATTCAAAAAAAAAAAGATCTGGACAGAAAATTCTAGTAACCTTTGTTTTGTTACTTAAGGCAGTTTTGAAAGCTTCTTTTAGTGACATCTTCGAAGAAACAAATTCATGCCATATACATATGGTCAGAAAAAAGTCTTCTTCTTGAGTTGTTTTATGAAATAAACATCTGATGTAGAAACCCAAAACAGCTACCTGACATCAGAGACGAAGATGGTAAATACTGTGGCAGTCAAGAGCACATGGTACAAACTGGTCATGTGGTAGTTGCTGGATACTGGTAAAACATTAATATACACCAAACACTTTATATCACTCATGAGAAAGACATACAGAATCTACATCACTGGAGAAATGTTGTTTTAAAGAGTTAATTTGAAATATCTGAAACTATTAACAGTGGTTCTAAGGGTAGGGATAACTAGGTGCTTTCTATTTGTTCATTATATATTTTAGTCGGTTTATTAGTTTTTGCATCTTTACCATAAATACACATATTACTTTTGTAAGCAGATAAAACCAAAGATATATTTTTTAAATAAATTTTGACTGCTTTGTAATAACAGAATAAGTCAACAAAGAGAAAAGACTAATTGGTTTATGACTTTAGCAGCAATTAAAGCAAGAAAATATACGAAGTACACATCATCTACTTAATAGAATTACCTCACAGAAATGTAACACACAAGATGAGAATGAGGCAGCTCCAGTGAGAAGATTTTGTATATAGCCTCGAGGCATATTATATTTTTCAGACACACTCCAAATGTTGGTCTCTTTGAGCAAGGTATTAAGAATAAAAGACAGGTAGAGTCGGTTGACGATGTCCTTATCCACCTTCTAGAAAGAGACAATCAAATAAATTTATGCACTGAACCTGTTAAAAATGTCAGTTACACTCAAGCTGGAAAAAGGTAAAGTGAACGAAGTTGTACTAAAATACCAAAGACCAAACCAACTGCTGTTGAGTCAATTCCGACTCAGCGACACTATAGGACAGAGAAGAACTGCCCGATGGAGTTTGTTGAAGGCTGTAATCTTTACAGGAGCAGACTGCCACATTGTCCTCCCACAGAGTACCTGGTGGGTTTGAACTGCCAACCTTTTGGTGAGCAGTGAAGCTCTTAACCACTGCGACACCAGGGCTACAGGGTAGCAAAGACAGAATGGTTCCACAAAAACAAAACAAACTTGTAACAAATGAACTTTAGATTAATTCAAGTTGACTTTCATTTTTCTAAGTATAAAAAGGAGACACGTCAAATTGTGATGGCCAAACTGTTGCTAGTTTAAATTAAACTCCCTTCTTTAAGGAGGGAGGGAGCTGGGGAGATCTTTACACTTACTGTGGCATTTATAGGTTGTGGAGCCCTGGTAGTATAGTGGTTAAGAGCCATGGCTGCTAACCAAAAGGTCCGCAGTTTGAATCCACTAGTCACTCCTTAGAAACCCTATGGTGCAGATCTACTCTGTCCTATAGGGTCACTATGAGTTGGAATTGACTTGATGGCAACCAGTTTGGTTTGTTTTTCTGGGGGGCGGTGGGGACTGTGTATAGGTTGTATATGTGTGTGATTGTGGCTATAAATTAGACAAATGCGTTTATTTAGATAAATATGTTAGTAAGCTTGTCTATACTGTAAACTAAAAATAAATATTTCCACATGGCCATGACAAATAATTAATGTTTCCAAAGACAAGATATCGGAAGAGCTGATGCCTTCTGTAGCTATGATTTCTATTCTGTGTACTGCTTTGTGGTGTCTAGTGACCGTTTTTGGTGTATTTTGTTGTTCATATCACACTAACTTAGAAACTGAGTAACTCATGCTTATAACTAGTGGAAAAAAAGGATGAATTTGAAAGAGAAAAAGTAGTTATGAAATTATATATTCTACTATAGTAAAAGGATGTTTGGGATGGGAATTTAGGGTAACATATTGAAGGGTACATGAATTACAGATTCTACATGTTGATACTGGATCACCCTTTTAAAAGCATTTTAAAAGCTGAAAAAGCATAATAGTTGAACAACATGTAGGAAAAGTTGGCTTAATTTCCCAATTTCAGTGAATCTACTTTATTAACTATATATTGGATTAATGTAAGCTTTACTGAGAATGTATTTTCTAAGCCAAAAGAACAGATATATCATATTGCAAGATAAAATAGTGTGCCAATTTCCATATCTTCTGCAAAAAAATATTTTTAAAAAAGATCTTTTTAAATGTGGAGAAATCAGATTTTAAGTAAATATTCTATAGTGTTCTAGAAAATAGATACTTTCAAAATATTAAACTAGCAACTAACCTATTTGTAATAAAAATAAATCCATACTCATTCTATTTTAAATACTTAACTATTTAACAAACATTTATTGACTGTATTACATAAAATGTAACAGAAAATTTCAGGATTCAATTCTGCATTATTCTTAATAAGATTTTACATATGTTTATTATTTGGTACTGAGTTCCAAATTAACATGATTTTGTTTGCATTTTATATTTTAGAATTTGATATAAAAAGTTTGTTTTAAGAAATACTTTTAATATTTTGCAGGTGTACAAAAAAAACACAATAAAACATCCAATCTAAAAATTGCATTATATAGATCTTTATAATTTTATGATTCAACAATGCATAGGACAGTTGTACCATTTAATTCAAATGTAAGTACTAAACTCCCTCTTCCACTTCTCAAAATGAAAACAAGTATTATCTATGTAAATTTAAAAGGCATGGGGGAGATGGCACGTGAGATATTACGCTTCAATGTAGACTGAATTACCAAAGGAAATTAAAAATTTAAAAAGTGTATTATGATGGGGAAAATATTAACTTAAGAAATTTGAAGGTATAGTTAGTATATTAAATTTAGTCTATTCATTAGGCACTTGCTTAATGCACAGTGACTGTGATATAAGATATTATCCCAAACAGTTACCAGTTTATCCACTTCAACCTTCTAAAATACTTTATGTACTTTAAGCACTAGACTGAAGAGTCCTTTGAGGAAAAAAAAAAAAACAATGCTATCCTATCTTAGAATCTCTGGTACCAAACAGAATGTCTAACATAAAGTTTCTGGAAAATATTATTTTTCCCCTTGAGCTGAACTTAATTCAGGATTACATAAAATTATAAAAACATTTTATAATTTTTATAGTGTAAGTCATAAGCAGTTTCAGAAAAAAATAGACTAATAAAGTTTATTCTTTTTTACATGTGCATGACAGAACATTTCTAAAATATGAAGGCATTCCTTTAAAAAGTCATTGCACCACTTAGAAATGACTACTGCTTAAAAAAATGCAAAATTTTTTGGTGCTCAGCTATGTTTCAAATAGTAAAATGGGAATCATATTAAAGAAAAAAGGTGAAACAAAAAGATAGGCCAACAAAGGAGATAATATAACGCTATTAATTTTGTTGAATGAATTTAGTTCATTATTTAGGAAGGAAAAAAATAAAAAAAGATTATAGTACCTTCTTGATTGCTTGACCTGATGCTTTCTTCCCAATAAAGCTTTCAGAGACTCCAACAAGAGCAGCTACTTTTTGTTCTGCTGGACTGAGCTGGCTGAACTACACAGAAAAAGAACAAACACATGGGAAAATCAAATTATAACTTTAAAACATAAATTTTATTTACAAATATTGCAAGTGTTACCAAAAAATACATTATTAAAATGTAACATACTGTAGCAGAATTGCTTAAAGAAATGGCCACAAGTACTGGTTTCCATGCAGTTTGTGGTTATGTTTACTACAGAGATGGCTGGGGGAAGTGAGAAGAGGGAAAGATTTTGACAATAACTGTATTATATAGTGCCTCTTAAAAACTATATCATAATTAATTATAAAAATGACATTAAAAAGAAAATAAATTTCCTGGGATGAAAAGCTTTATACTGCCTCTGACTACTATGTATTCATGTGTCTAGCTTGCTCACAGTAAAATCGTAATAAACTACACTCTACCACTTGGTTTTGTACAAGTAGGACAAGTTCCACCTTGCTACTGAGTATAAAATACATATTCCTTCTCGGGTATTAACATCACTGAACTCAGTGTAACATCATGTTTGGCTCTGATACAGCTTTCATGCAAACTCTCGATCATCAGAGATAGCTTTCATTGTTTTCTTCACATTCTAGGCATTATAAAATGCAGTGACCACCAAATCATAATGGTAACTGTCTGGGAGAATGAGACCAACAATGTTTTTTTAATTTTCTGTACTTTAAAAAAAAATTTTGTATAATGAGCATGTTTATATTTAAAAGAAAAGTAGTGTTTAAGGAAAACAAACCAAAAATGATGTGGCCATATTACTATTTTTAAAAACTGAAAGACAAAAGACTCAAGGCCAAATATATTTTAACACAGCAAAACAAAAAAGTGACCACTTAAGAAAAATCATATCATCATTAATAAGATAAGTAGCCTAAATTGAAGAATCTCCTTACAATACATTCTCACCTGCCTGAAGTATATCATCCAATCAGGGTCATACAGGAAAACCATATCATAGGGAGTTATTAGGTAGATGAGATGAAGAAGGCTCTCAAGTACAAGTCCTTCAAGACCTTTCTTCAAGTCTCTGTAGAGAATGCCACAATACGCCAAATCTATCATTCCTAAAAGAAAGATACAGATATTTCATCTTTCATAATTATTAGAGGGGGAAAGAAGTGATTTTAAGTAAAATTTTGCTTGCAAGATAAAAATTACCTAAACAAAGCAAAAAGTCTTCAAAATCTATTCTGGAGGTCATTTTAATAATATCCATCAATGTTTAATACATACATAACTTCTGACCCAGTGAGTACTCAATTTCTGTGAATCTAACCCAGAGAAATACTCTCACATATACTCAAAAATACAGGAATAGAGATGTCCATGAAGTGGAGAATGGTTAAAAAAATTATGGTACATCCATAGTATAGATGACTGCATTTATTAAGAGAAAGTGAGGTAGATTTTTTAAAGAGACTGATGTGTTAAGATGTTCATGATATTTTATAAGTGAAAAAAGCATGTCGTCAAAAAATACTTATACCACGATTCCATCTGAGAAAATAAACGTTATACTTACCATGTACATATATACGTGGACGTTGTAGTTGGTTGCCTTTGAGTCAGCTCCGACTCATCATGACCCCCTGTGTGCAGAGCACAACTGCTCCATGGGGTTTTCAAGGCTGTGACCTTTCAGAAGCAGATTGCCAGACCTGTCTTCTGAGGCACCGCTTGGATGGGTTCAAACCACCAACCTTTCGCCTAGCAGTCGAGCACTTACCATTTGCGCCACCCAGCCACCCGATACATGAGATATTTACATATAAAATGTTTAGGATAAATATCAAATTGTTAACACTGGTAGTCCCTGGGAGGGAAAATTGGACAGGATTATGGATCTTTGCTTTATATAATTCTGAGTTCTCAGGATTTTAAAACAATATACATATGTTACTTTTTATTTAGTAAATTATGATGTAGCTGTTAAGAAGGAAACTCTTTATTCACTTTCATGGCATAATCCCTATTATATTAAGTAAAAAAAAGCAAGCTCCAGAATAATATAAATCATTATTTATGAAAAAAACAAAAACTTAAACATTAAAACAGCATATATGTATACATTATGCATTGAAATAAAAATGTACAGAAAAGGTCTGGAAAGATAAACACTGAACTGTTATTTTTTATGGATACTGGGGTTTGTGTGATTGCTGGGGGAACAAAGTGTGAAGGTGGGGTGACTTTTTCTCTATATACTTCTGCAGTATCCTAAATTACTTGTGTAAATAAGAAAACATAATTCAAAACAATTTTTAACTTCTGAAGTAGTCTAACAACATATTTAAAAAATAGAATTAATGTTAATATGAATATGAAATTATAAATCAAATTTAAAGTAACAGAAAATTTTAATTTCTATTTTTTCCAATGCTTTTCTTCAGATTAATAATGCAATTTAGGTAAGCTCTTACCCTTAAAAGAAGCTCGTCCCAACTTTGTAATATGGAAATTATATTCGACCTCTTTTTCAGCCTTACGAATAGTATCTTTTTGTAGCAGTCCTTTTTCTGTCAGGTAGCTAAGTGATTCAACAGTTATTTCCCAGAGACTTTTTTCTTTCAACAAAATCTTCTGCTGAACCCCCAGAAATGTGCCACTCATAAAGTGATATATGTCACTAAGATTTGTTGCGATCTGAAACAATTCAGGACATCAATGAAATATTTTCCTTAATTCAAGGTACTTTGAATGCACATTAATCAAGATGACGACTCACCCACATACCTCAAAGATATTCAAATAAAAAAACTAGCAGATAATCTACATAACTGCAAATATGATTTTATACTGGCATTTTACAATTAACAAGAAAAATACAATTAAAGGAAGAAGACAGTTACCATATTCATACTTTTTATGAAAACATTTACACATTTTCCACTCAGAACTTCTTAAACCCAAAATCCACTGCCGTTGAGTCAATTCCGACTCATACCGACCCTATAGGACAGAATAGAACTACAGGTTTCCAAGGCTGTAAATTTTTATGGAAACAGACTGCTACATATCTCTCCCGTGGAGCGGCCGGTAGGTTCAAACCACCGACCTTTCAGTTAGCAGCCAAGTGCTTAACTATTATGCCACCAGGGCACTTTCAAAACTCCTTAGGCTTTTGAATAATTTTTCATATTATCTCCAAAGCTGTGCTCTCTTAGTTTACTTCCCAGCAATTATCATTAACTCCTGCTCAGTATCCTTCAGAAAACTGCCCCGTCACCCTTTTCCTTCCACATGTGAAATCATCTTTTAGCTCTAAAAAAATGTATTAAAAGAAAAGAAACACATGGGAAACACTCCTGAAAAACTCCTCTAAAACAACAATCAGGCAGTACTTCGCAGAGGAATCTAAAATGTTACTTAAAAACAAATAGCAGTTTTCTACCACTTTTTTCTCTCTCCTGTTCCCATCTCTTTTTCCTGTTCTTTCACTGCCTTTTTCTCTCCCCCTCTTATTCACTATTTACGACTCAGAGTGGCAATCATAAGTAATACTTAACCTTCATGTGGGATTCAGATGTAGAGCTGACCCTGAAATTGCAATGATTTCATACTAGCCACTTTCAAAGAAATCAGCATGTTCTACTAAAATATAGTCAGTCAATAAATACATTTTTCTCTCTTACAATCCTGATGGTATTTCAACTGGAAAAATTAAGTAGTTATTTCACATTAAACCAATATAAAGGATAACAAAAAATATTACAGGGCATGGACATTTTCTATTGCTTCTTCGTCTTTTAATACAATCACTTAGTATATTTCAGTAGACTGAAATTATACTTTTAAGATATTTAGCAACTGATACTCAGTTTGTGGATTATTAATGTATTCTGGTTTTGTACTGTTTCCTGTCTGGTTAGGAACAGTTAACACCGGCGGTGGTGGTTGAGGGGAAACCTTTACTTGATCCATTTATCTATCCTTATGTTATTTTTCTACCTCCCTGAAAAAATTTTTGACATAGTGATTTAAACCAACTGGGCTTGCCTCTGTCTCTGGCCTCCTCAGCTTCTCAAAGCTGGATTATTCACTAATACCCTAAGCTACAAGTTCACCCAAGACCAATTTCAAAGTCAATCCACTCATTAATTGAAGTATTTACCAGGCATCAACAACATGCTGTGAGCCGTCTGATAGGCACTGGGATTCAGTGACAAATGAAATGTGGACCCAGGTTTCAGGGCTTACACGTCAGTAAAGTTATTAACCAAATAATTGTGTAAACAGCAATAGACTGACAAACTGAGAGGTGATTAAAGGAAAGGGATGGGGTTCTATAAAAGCATATTGCAATAGACTGCCTGAAGTCAGAGGCATAGGGAAGTCTTCCATGCAGAAAGGATGGGTAAGCTAAGATTTGAAGGCTGAGTAGGAGTTAACTAGACAAAGCAGTGGGATGAGAGTGAAACTAGAGAAAATGGGAGCGTTCCAGGCTTAGCGACACTGGGGTAGGAGGGAGCATAGCATGTTTGAGAAAGTAAAACAGAACGTCAGTGTGTCTGGAGAGCAGGGTGTGGGAAAGCTGGTAAGAGTCTGGACTGTGGTAGACCACCGATAAGGAATTTGGCCTGAATCCTAAAAGCAATGGGAAACCACTGACAAATTTTAAGCAGAAGGGGATTATGTAACCATATTTGCATTTTGAAAAGATCACTCTGGGTGAAGAATTACTTGGAGGGGATGTGGGAAGGCAGGGCAGAGTGGATAGAGGGAGACCAGTTAGACTACTGCAGTGATCCAGGCAAGAGACTGCAGTAGCATGGACTAGAGTGTGCAAGGGCAGATATACGGTGTAAACCAGTCTACATAACCTAACCTCTGTTAGCCTCGGATTCTTTACTTGTAAAAGAGAAATAACATTACTTAATTCAAAGGTATGCAAGGATCAAAGATTAAATATGTAAAGTATCTAGCAGAGTATCTGAAATATAACTAGAGGCTCCCTGATCCAACTGTTATATTCTCTTATTAATTCCTGAAGTCTCCTTCTCTCCCATCAAAGCTGTGCCCCGGTATTTCCAGAGATGTTCACCTCTATACTCCTGTCCCCTAACCTCACACTGCCCAAGTCATAGATCGTGCCCTTCTTTCCTCTTCCCTCTATTTTAACCGGTTGGTCCAGTCTAGGGGACCTGACTTCTGCTTCATTTCTGACTCTAAAGGTTTTCAAGGTTAATCATTCTGTCTAGAATCCCAGCCCTCTCCCAAACAGTCCTACTGTGACCCCTACCTCAAGGGGAAAAGGGAATCCTGGTGGCCTGTTCTCTTCAGGACTAGGACCAATAACTCAAGTTCTGCCACCTATGGACAGGTTTGGATGACAGCTGCCCACCTGCTTATGTCCTGAACCAACTGCTGCCTGGACTTCTTGCTGTTGTACTGCAACTGTTAAAAGCAGAACTGAAATGACTGTATAACCTGTGGATCTTGCCTTGCCAGGCCTGTAAAACCATATGTATGTGGCCAACTCAGTTCCCCCAGGCTCCCTGTTTCTCAAAGTGCTCCGGTCTCAAGTGAAGTTCCAACTCCCTCCTAATTCTTTTTGGAGGACTGCCTTTTGCCAAGTCCTAACTCATGACATACTATCAGGATGGCACAGGAGTGGGCAGTGTTTCGTTCTGTTGCATGTAGGGTTGCTGTGAGTCGGAACCAACCTGACAGCACCTAAAAACAAACCCATGACATATGTATATTTGTCAGATATACATATTATGAATATTTCCCCCATCTGTGGATAGCCTTTTCATCTTTTCAGCAGTGGCTTTGAAGATAAGAAGTTTTTAATTTTGATGAAGTCCATTTAATTGACTCCCCCTACCCCCCCGCCACATGGTTTATACTTTTTGTTTCCCATGTAAGATATCTTTGCCTAACCCAAGGTAACAAAGTTTTTTCTCATATATTTTCCATTAGAAGTTTTATTTTAGCTTTATGTTTAGTTCTATGATCCATTTTGAATTGATTTTTTGTACAGGGTGAGATAAGAGTAGAAGTTAATTTTTTAATTCCATATGGATGTCCAGTTGTTCTAGCACCATTTGCTGAAGACTATCCTTTCTCCATTGAATTCGTTGGCACTTCTGTTGAAAACTGACTACATGTGTGTGGATCTATTTCCAGACTCACTGATCCACTGATCGGTATGTCTATCTTTGCACCAGTGCCACACTATTTTGATCACTATAGCTTTACAGTGACTCTTATAATCAGGTAGTATAAACCCTCTAACTTTGCTAAGCTTTCTTATTTTTCTTTCCATTTTAAGTGCCTGGAATGGCTTCTCCCTTCCTTGTGCTTATCTAAAACCTGTATCTCCTTCAATACCCAGCACAACTCCCTTTTCTTCCTTTTACCCTTCTTGGTTGCTGAAAGTGAAGAGGACTTGAAATACTTACTGATGAAGATCAAAGACCACAGCCTTCAGTATGGATTACATCTCAACATAAAGAAAACAAAAATCATCAAAACTGGACCAATAAGCAACAACATGATAAACAGAGAAAAGATTGAAGTTGTCAAGGATTTCATTTTACTTAGATTCACAATCAACACCCATGGAAGCAGCAGTCAAGAAATCAAATGACACATTGCATTGGGCAAATCTGCTGCAAAAGACTTCTTTAAAGTGTTGAAAAGCAAAGACTAAGGTACACCTGACCCAAGCCATGGTGTTTCAATCGCCTCATATGCATGACAAAGCTGGAGGATGAATGAAGACCAAAGAAGAACTGACACCTTTGAACTGTGGTGCCAGTGAAGAATATTGAATATACAATGGACTGCCAAAAGAACAAACAAATCTGTCTTGGAAGGAGTACAACCAGAATGCCCCTTAGAAGCAAGGATGGCAAAACTAAGTATCACATACTTTGGACATGTTATCAGGAGGAATCGTTCTCTGGAGAAGGACACTATGCTTGGTAAAGTAAAGGGTCAGCAAAAAAGAGGAAGACCTTCAACAAGATGGACTGACACAGTGGCTGCAACAATGGGCTTAAGCTTAACAACGATTGTGAGGATGGCACAGGACTGGGCAGTGTTTCGTTCTGTTGTACACAGGGTCACTATGAGTTGGAATGACTCGACGGCACCTAACAACAACGACAACAAATTGCCAGAGGACATAATGATTATGCCATTTACCTGTAACATCATCAAATCTTACTTTGTGATATCTGTTTTACTTATCAGTTGCCTTTTACATTTTCACTTAAACTGTTCACGTTAATGAAGACAGGCTGTATGACAGAATATGAGCACTGGCTTTATAGTTAGTGAAACCTGAATTCAAAACCCAGCTTAAAATCCTTCTAGACTGACAGCCCTTGGCTAAACTATTTACTAAAGAATAACCCTTTCAGGGGACATTTAGGTCAACTGGCATAACAAAGTTTATTGAGAAAATGTTCTGCATCCCAATTTGGTGGAATGGCATCTGGGGTCTTAAAGGCTTGCGAGTGGCCATCTAAGATGCATCAATTGGTCCCAGTCCGCCTGGAACAAAGGAGAATGAAGAATACCAAAGACACAAGAAAAATGTTAGCCCAAGAGACAAAAGGGCCACATAAACCAGAGACTCCATCAGCCTGAGACCAGAAGAACTAGATGGTGCCTGGCTACCACCAATGATGCCCCTTGACAGGGAACACAACAGACAGTCCCTGATGGAGCAGGAAAAAAGTATAGTGCAGAACTCAAATTCATGTAAAAAGATCAGACTTAATGGTCTGACTGAGACTAGAGGAACCCTCAAAGACATGGCCCCTGGACTCACTGTTAACCCAGAACTAAAACCATTCCTGACGCCAACTCTTCAGACATAGACTGGACTATAAAACATAAAATAATACAGATGAAGAGTGTGCTTCTTAGTTAAAGTAGATACACCAGACTAAATGGGCAGCTCCTGTTTGGAGGCAGGATGAGAAAGCAGAAAGCGACAGGAGCTGGTTGAATGGACATGGGAGACTCAGGGTGGAAAGAGGGAGTGTGCTGTCACATTATAGGGATTGCAACTAGTGTTACATAGCAATATGTGTATAAATTTTTGCATGAGAAACTAACATGAGCTGTAAACTTTCACCTAAAGCATAATTTAAAAAAAAAAAGAATAACCCTAAAGAAAGATTTAACTCAGGAGTAACCCTAAAAAAGGAAGCTAATGTCTAATCTTAGGAGAGTGTTTTCCCATCATGCTTACTTGATAAAGGCTATCGTGATCCCACAAATGTTTATAATATCCTAGAATGGAGGCAGGACTACAGGTGAACTTTACCCTTAATAAGGACAGAGGTGCTAGATTATCCAACATCAGGACCCATCTCTTTAGAGTTCCTTATATCTCCCACAGAATTTACCAAAGTCCCTTACACATAATGGATGCCCAACTATATTATTTTTTGATTTTTCATATTCCTTGTATCTCAAAGGATTAAAATGCAAATACAAATCCAGATTTAGATTCATCATGTCAGTCACAGACTGCTCCTTTCTACATCAGAAGTTAGCATTTCTTTCATACTTTACAGTTTATGTAACTTTTTAACATCTACTATTTCAGGTAATGGTAATAAGATTAAGAAATATTCTTAAAATACCTTCAAACCAATCAAAGAGAGAAATAAAGTCTGGATTCCCTTGGTGAATTCCTGAACAAGGTGGCTATAACAGTTTTCCAATGGACTATTTATTAACTCCAGTACCTACAAAAATTAAAGCAATATTATATTTTGTGTTACAAAAAATCAGTGATGTTCCCTTGAAAACATTATGCTGAGTGAAATAAGTCAGTCACAAAGGGACAAATATTGCATTATCCCACTTGTATGAAATATCTAGAATAGGAAAGTGTACAGAGATCAAAGTTTCTTTAGTGATTACGAGGTGTGGGTTGGAGGGAGGGGGAAAGGAGACACAATGCTTAAGAGACAGGGAACTTCTGTTAAGAGTGATGGAAAAATTCAGGAACTGTTAATGGCAATGGTTGAACAACATGGTGAAGGGAATTAATGTGACTGAACTGTACAAGTGAAGAATGTAGAAATGGTAAATGTTTTGTTACCTATATATTTACTACAATTTAAAAAAAAAAAAAAAAAGACCATAAGATGGGCAGGGGTTGGCAACAGGTAAATAATCAGCAGGTGCCTTTTCACTAGGACAGTGCTGCCCCCTGTGGACTGTTTCGGACCCATGAAGACCCTATAGGACAGAGTAGAACTTCCCCGTAGGGTTTCCCAGGAGTGGCTGGTGGATTCGAACTGCTGACCTTTTGGTCTGATCATTTTTATAGCAAGGCATCTCCAGTCATCCCTGTTTTACAAACATTCTTTCTTCATTCACCTTAGAACAGCTTTAGTAATAATAAAATATTCCAACAATTGGACTGGTAAAAAAAAAAATGAATGAATGATGGTCCATATAAAAATGTTACACTTGGTATAAATCTTGTGGAGGCTGGGGGGAGACAAAAAACTTAAAGACAAAAGAATAAGAATTTAACAAGTTTCTTCATGAAAATGGAAAAAGAATTTTTTTTTATTGTGTGACTGAAACACAAAAGTATTCAAACTACTCTTTCTAATCCTTAATCATATAGGAGAAGGACAGATTGTTTAAGGGAACATTAATATTAATTTTGAATAAATGACCTCATAAAAGGGCTAGGCCAAAGACCAAGAAAAAGAGGCCAAACAAACAACCAGATTGAGGATTACCTGCTGCTTGTCTTTCTCTTGCAAGATAAGGATACTCTCCCCAACAGTATCTATTCCAGCACGGCCAGCTCTGCCGATCATCTGTTTATATTGATTCCTTTTTAAAAATTCCTTGGCAACGTAGGGGGCTCTTAAAATAACTCTATGAAATTGATAAAATTAATTAAAAGTGACACTCCATCTATAGCAATAGCATCTACTTTCAAAACTCTTAATTTCATTATATATTTGTGATATTAAATTTAGTGAAAACTCAAAATATGTAACTACTATTTACCAAGAATCTGTGAAATTCTAGGTCCTTTACATACATTATCTGTAATTCTTACAAAATTCTTGATAATATTATCCTTTTTTTAAATACAAATAGGTTAACTGAAGTTCAGACAAGTGAAGTGACTTACCCCAAACCACAAAGTTATAAGTCCCCAAATCATGATTTGAACCCAAGTCTGCCTAACTGCAAAGTTTATGATCAACTCAATACACCAATAGTCTCAAAACCTTTAAAATTTTATACCCTATAAATGAAAAATTTGACCATATAACAACACATACATATTTATGAATTTATATTATTCTGAACTATATGAAATTGCAGATTTCAATTGTTTTTGACCTATAAAAATGGTAATTTTAATCCTGCACAAAATAAGTCTGTAATCAGTTTTCATGTTCATAGACAAGAGAAAATCTATGCCATTGACCTAATCAACCCAGTCCTTTATTCATAAATCTCCATAGCCAGCCAAAACTTCCAAACACTTGAAGGAAACTAATGGCATAAAAGAAATCAACAAGAATGTACAGAAAAAATAATTGACGGAAGCAGATAATATAGAAAACAGGAGAGAACTTTCAAAAAATTCTATCCACAGAGAAATTCCAAAGAATACTGCATTCATAATATGAGAATAGGCTGTTATACAGAAATAACAGTAAAAGAAGAAAGAGTTCTTGTAAAATTTAAAAAAAAAAAAATTTTTTATTTCTATTTAAAATTTCAATAGAAGAACTGAATAATAAATGAAAATTGAACTTGTTATATGGAAAGTAAAATTGAAGAAATCGCACACCTTGAATAGATGGAAAAATGTGTAAGAAAAGTTAAGAGATAAGCAAGTTCAATCTAAGAGGCCTCAAACCTGTCTAACTGAAGCAACAAAAGTGGAGAACAGAGACAACAGAAAGAAGGAAACAATCAAAGACATAACAGGGAAAAATTACTCTGAGTTGAAGAAAGACGTAAAGCTTTAGACTGAAAGCATCCACTTGAGTGTTAAATCCTTGAAAAGCAGGTAAGAGTTGAGTAGAATTAGACTTCCTGGGTTCAAATTTTGGCTTTGAAACTCATTTAGGGAGTGAAGTTGGGCAAGTTATTTAATTGCTCAGCACCTCAGTTTTCCCTTCTATAAAGTGCGAATAATAAAATCCAACCTTCCTCACGGAGTTGCTGTGGAGGAGCCAATAAGTCAACACATATAAAGCCATTATTGCACAGCCTGGCATATGGCAAACACTCAAAAGGTGGAGCAGGAGATGCAATAGCTGCAATTATTACTACACATCATGATACAAATTTAAGGAAAAAGTTGACAAGCTCTTGGAGAGGAAAAAAAAACAGCAAATCCATGCAAAAACAAAAATCAGCAATCTTGGCTCCTAGAAGACACAGAGCAATGTCTACAAAATCTTCTAAGGAAAAAAACTGAGGCCAGAGTTCTTTTCCCAGTGAAGTGTTAAAGTGAGGCCGAGATAAAGACATCTCAGCTATGCAAATACTCTAAAAAATTACTCAAGAACAGCAAATTAAAAATGAATCACAGAAGGAAGATATGGGATACAAGAGGGAGTGGTAAGGAAAAAAACAAATAAAATTTACAGGTGTTGTTACTGTTAGATGCTGTTGAGTCGATTCTGACTCGTGGCAACCCAGTATGTTATAGATTAGAACTGTTCCATAGGGTTTTCTTAGCTATAACCTTTTAACAGAAGGAGCCCCTGGATGGTGCATACGGTTAAGCACTAGACTACTAGCCTAAAGGTTGGTGGTTCAAACCCACCCAGAGGTACCTCAGAAGATGAGACTGGCGATCTGCTTTTGAAACACCACAGCCTTGAAAACTCTATGCAGCACAGTTCTACTTTGACACAGGTGGAGTTGTCATGAGTCAAAATCAACTTGACCGTGACAAAATACGATCTTAATGAAAGCAGATTGCCAGGCTATAGGTTCCAACTGTTGACCTTCAGGTTAGCAGTCAAGCACAAACCATTTGTGCCACCTAAACCTAAAAAACCAAACCTGTTGCCATCGAGTTGATTCTGACTCATTGCGACCCGACAGGACAGAGCAGAATTACTCCACAGGGTTTCCAAGGAGCAGCTGGTAGATTTGAACTGCCGACCTTTTGGTTAGCAGCCAAGCTCTTAACGACTGCGTCACCTAGGGACCTTTAAAATTTATAGGTAACTTTAAACAATTATTGATTATAAGATGAAAGAAAATAAAAAATGTGAAACTAAAATTCCAGGTAATTGTAATGTAAATGGAGCAGAGTAGAAAAATATACAAATGCTAAGACTCTTTTGTTCAGGAAGGATATAATTATTAATTCTAAAATGATAGAAAAACATGCTTGATTATAACTGTTAGAATTTTAAGAGTAACTACTGAAATAATAGAAATAAGATATATAACCTCTAATTTTTTCTCCAACTGTCTGATAAAAGGAAAGCTTAATCAATGACAGAGTTGAAAAATAAAACAACGACAAAAGATACTTTGGGAAAATGCAGTCCTAGTAATGAGTCCTGGTGGTGCAGTGGTTAAGAGCTTGGCTGCTAGCCAGAAGGTCAGCAGTTCGAATCCACCAGCTGCTTCTTGGAAACTCTATGGGGCTGTTCTATTCTGTTCTATACAGATACTATGAGTGGGAATTGACTCGACAGGAACAGGTTTCAGTCATGATTAAAGCAAAATCATTAAATGAGTGAAACATGGATCTATTATATTGATAAAAGATACAATTCAGCAATATTTGCAGTAAACTTTTGTATATCTAAGTAGCTTTGAAATATACAAAACAAAAACTTCTAAAAATGCAAAAAGGAGAAACTGACAAATCCATAGTTATAGTGGAAGACTAATACATCTCTCTGAAACTGACAGATAAAGAAACAAAAGCAAGAAAATAGAGTTGATAAAATAATCCACAAGTGTGATCTCATTGAGATATATGGAACTTCATATCCAACAGAGAAGCACATTTATTTTAATACTCATGGAAGATTTATAAAAATTGACCATACATTAGAAGGAATAACAAACAAACAAACAAACCGATAGTGATAAATTATGAAGAGCAAAAATCAATTACACAGGCAGCTACGGATTGAACTGTGTCCTCCAAAAAGATATGCTGAAGTCCTAATCCCTGTACCTGTGAATGTGACCTTGTTTGGAAATAGTTTGTCTTTTTTTATTAGTTAAGTTAAATGAGGTCATATGGAACAGGGTGGATCATAATCCCAATCCTTTCTGAGTGGTGTCTTACAAAAGGGGAGGGCAGACATGGAAACAGGGTGACACACAGCAAAAACACAGTTTGTGAGGATCTGTCTCTAAGTGAAAGAACACCAAGGAGAGAGGTAGGGAACAGTTTTTCTTTAAGCCTCCAGGACAAACTGGCATGACCAAGACCCTGATTCGGACTTATATCCTCCAAAATTGTGAAAAAATAAATGTCTGTTCTTAAAACCACTCACTTAGTGGTATTTTGTTATGGCAGCCCTAGGAAGCCAAGGTATAGGCCAACAACTTTGATAATAACTGAAAAGATAGTCAAGAGTCTGCATTAAAAAAATGATATCAGATTGAAATGGCTTTATGGATGAGTTCTTCAAGTTTTCAAGGAAACCCTAGGTTAAACTCTTTTAGATCACAGAAATAGATGAAAAACTTTCAACTGTTTCTTACATCTAGCATCGTAACTGACATCAAAATGAACTATGAAAAGAAGGAAGGAAATCTACTAATGTTATTTTTCATTAAAATATTAAAGGGAAAAAAAAAAACAGTCAACTTAGAAAATGCTGAAAAAACGTTTGATAAATCATCACCACTACTGAGAAAGAGTAAAACCACAATAAAACTCTTTGCAAATTAGGAACTGAAAAGTTTCAAGCCTGGCCAAGTTACTTCCATCTTACCTACGAGCTGGTAGGTTGACACCTGCTGCTAGGGTGGACGTGCAGGTAAAAAGACAGAGAACTCCTGTGGAATAGGCCTCCTCCAAGAGCTTCCTTTCATCACTGGTTAAACCACTATGGTGATAGGCAACTCCAAATGGGATAGTGCGCTTCAGAACAGGACATAGGTTGCCACCACCGATGTTCTTCAAGTTCTTAATTACCTCACACTTTTCCTTCTCCCTGTGTTTCAGATATTCCCTGGGAAAAAGATATGTTAGAAATATGAATCCTTGATCTTATAGTGACAAAGTGCCTATCATTTTAATTTTAGTAGAATTCATGTAAACATTCTTTTAAAAAATTACTTTTATTGATGTAAGTACATAAAATATTCTTAGAATTTTGATTTTGACTTCATTTACTATTAGGTGGTCTCTGTCAATCTTTTTGTGGATCATAGAGTCTTGTGAAAAATCTGATGCAAGCTAAAAAAAAAAAAAATTCACGTAAACACAACACTTTGCATATACTTTCAGAGGGTTCATGGGCTTCCTGAAATTTATTCCTGTACTTCCTATGAATTCATGAATGCCAGGTTTAGACCCTGGTGAATGATATTTTAAAAATATTAACATACTTGCTTAAAAACTTGCATATCATTTCTGCTACGTTTTCACAGTTCTTCTTAGTAGGACAAAAAACTAAGCAGGAATAATTGGGAATAACTTCTGTTACTAATGCTACCAAGCGATCAGGATCCATCTTTTTCAGGGTATCAGAATACTGCAAAATAACAAGATGTAGGAACAAGGAAGTTAGTAGCTATTAAAGTCTGTCATTTTTTTTAACTAATGTGACCTGAACGTAAGTAAATCATCCATAATTTTGAACTTCTTATTTAATAAATTTGATCATTTAAAAGAAAAGATGAAATCTATATTAAACATCAAAACATTACATCCCACTTTTAGGTTATTAGGGTTTCATTAGCTATATGTAGTTAAAAAAAGAAACTAGAATTAAAGGAGTGAATTAAATTAAAGAGAATTAAAGAAGTGAAAATAGTTAACATTATTAATAACCCCGCTGCATGTCATCTCCACCAAAGCAGAACAAGAGTCCACAGAAAGACAAATTGACTCTAATAATAGTCAAAGGACTGTATACATAAGATATACCCTTTGTTATTACTAATAGTTTTCAAAAACACAGATACAATTATACTAAAGGACATTTTCAGAAATACAAAAGATATTTATCACTGAATTACCACAATTTCTGTGACCTTAAGGAGACACCAGGAATTCAAAGAACAGGAAGAAAAAAATGTAAAGTTATTTAAAATCTTCTCAGTTCCTTAGACTTTACTGAAACTAAGTAAGATATAGATTTTAGAATAACGTATCTTCATAGACTTCTTGAACTGTTATAAAACAAATCCCTTTCCCCCCTTTTTAATATCCTTCATATAAGTCATAGAACAATGTTAGACATTTACATTTTTATACACCAACATGTGAACTACATAGCCCATAGATTTTCCATTGTCTTTGTTTCATTGGTACATTTTTTAAATTGTTGTTGAATGAATACTAAACATTTAAGGAAGAGGTTCCCAAGTTTTCTTGGTTCATGGTACACCAAGGCCAAAAGAAAAACCTAAAAGTTCTGCTTATTAGATAGTTTGGTACAAATAGCTTAATAACACCACTTAGTAGCCATTTGAGTAAATAATACATAACAATACAAAGAAAAAATAGTATTTTTATTTCATTCTTAAATAATCACAGCTGCTCACTAATAGGATATGTGCAGTTTTGGGCACTGCACAGCCTTTCAGACTTTGGAATCAGACTGGACACTGCCAACTTCATTTCCTGTTCCACACTGATTTTTGCATGGTACTTGCTTATTATTACAGCTACTGCAAAAAACCCAATTTCGCAAAGATCTGATGTCATAGAAAGGAATGTAGTGTGATCTAATGTTGAAACTCGTAACTACCTTGAACCAGTAGTTTGTATGGTGTCCCACAGATGTCAAATAGTGAATCTTGTATGGTGTTCCAGGGCACCCTGGTACAGAGTTGGGAACCCTGGATTTAAGGGTTATCAGTGTTACCTTATAATTAAGGAGACGTGAAAAAGTGATGCCATTTTCAGCTTTGCTGTCAACCTCATGTATCTCATCATTGATTTTCAGATATTCTTTTAATTCAACCTTGAATTAAAAGGACATTTGTAATTAATAGCAGATACAAATTCCTCTTTCCAGAGTTTTAGATTTTGTAAAATATGTTGTAAAAAAAAAAAATAGCTCTAAAAAGATTTTAGTTTTTCTAAGACATGTAAAGTATGCTTCAACTTAAAAGCTTTCTTCACCATTTCTTTTTTTTAAGTCTCTTTTTCTGTCTAAAGTAAAATAAGGGTTAATAGTCTTTAAAAAAATACTTACGAATTGGGCAGTCACATATCCAGTAGGAAACCAGGCATCTGTATTTGTCACAAGCAGCAGTATAAACGAGTTAAAATGTTCATACTCTTTATCTTTAATTAAGGTGTTATTTGTTTTATCCCTCCAAGATTATTGGTTTGAATTCTAAATATCACCACATTATTTTTAATTTAAGTATTTATAGACAAAAGAAGTTTTTAAACACAGGTCTCTGCATTTTTAAAAGAAGAAACTCTAATTTGAAAATTAAGGTCATAAAATATCTCTTGAAAATTTTCATATTTGCTGCAAATGTAAAAAAAATAAAATTTCATATTAAAATTTGATGATTCTCAAAAATTATTTTCTGAAAAAATATTTGGGCACAGAACATACACAATAGCACTGCAGATACTATATGAACATACGGTACTTTCAAATAACTACAAATTTATTTGTTGACTTTCTTCAAACATTTTGGGAATACTGTTTATTGAGGAGTTTAAAATTAATTCCATGTGAAGTCTGAATTTATTTAAAAATAACTATCAAAGCATAAATATTGGAAGATAATTTTTTTTCTATGTATCAATAACTCAAAACATGTCTTGCTAAAGTTTGGCCAAATGAAAAACTTACCTTAGAGAATAAAAAGTAGAAAAATAGAATGGGTCTGGAAAAATGCATTCAATAAATATTCATTCAATAAATATTAACTGAGGGCCTATGGGCTAGGCACTGTTCCAGGTGGTGTAGATACATTAATGACCCAAACCAAGATCCATGGCCCATGGAGTTTACATTTTCTATATACAAACTCTTATTAGTGTACAGCCATGATGAATGGAATTACACTCCTTTACTACTAAATGAGTTTTTTATATAGTACACGTGCTACTCTTATTTCTAAGATGAATACACAACGAACAATACAGTGCAAACCTTAGGTACATACTGGTCTAAACTGATTGGTGTAATATTCTGCTTGAAGGAACTCTTGTAGGTCTTCAACATTGTTTAATGTTGCACTCATTCCAATAATTTGAGTTGTTTCTAAAAAAAAAAGTATTGAGAAAAATTTGTGTATTATATGTTTAGTATATCATAATACTATCAGTGATTTTAACCTTTTTGTGTTTTTGTGAATTCTTCCTGGGTGATCTGGGAAAGGGAAGAGGGGTGAGTAAGATAAATACAAATATATTACCAGAGTAGTTATCTGGCAATTAAAGGATAAAACCTTTCAGGCATCCTGAAGTTACTATTTAGAATTTTATATAATTTCAAACTTGGCAAAAGAGTGGGGTATTTATTAAGACTTTTAAACAAAGCATACTGAATACAAATATGGTTGTTGTGGACTATCTGGATCACCTGTATGAAGAGTTACCACATGTTCCACTGGTATGGCTATAGATAGAGGCACACTATAGGACACAGCGCTGAGTTGGTCCCAAACTCTTGCCACATGAAAAGTTCTTTAAGGGGTCTTGCTATCAGGTTATAAATTTTTTGTGACTGTTGTTGTTTCAAATAAAAATGGAGTGAAGCTCATGCAGCCGTGTGACCTCCCAGGCAGTACAAAATGGCTGCTTTCTATGGACTTAGCTAGTAGATCAAAACTCAAAAAAGTCTTAACAAATGCTTCTTCCTTGCTGCACTGACTTTTGTCTTGAATTATCATTGAAGATAATTGAATGAGGGATGTGTATTTTCCTTTCTCCTTCCATAAGGATGGACTATGAAGCTGAAGAGGTGAGCTTGGGGCCAAATCAAGAAAGGTTGTGCTAAGAAATTGGAAATTTATTAAAGAGTTTTAAACAGTAAACTAATTGGACTTACATTTGGGAAAGATCATTCTAAATGCACCAGAGAAGATACATTTGGTGGGGGGAAGATACAGTGATCAAGAGTAGAGCAAACAGAAGAGCTTGGTGACTTCTGTAGTAATCTAGCTAAGAAAGGATGAAGAACTGAACTAAAAGATTTAATAGAGAGGGAGGTGAAGGAGAATTAAGAAAATATATGCGTGAGGTAAACCAGATAGGATTTCACAGCTGTAAGATTTTGGCTTACCTGGCTCGATGGAAAAAGGTGGCAGAGAATTCAGACTGAAGAATGAGTTTGAAGGAAATGACTTAGGTTTGGAAACGGTGAATCAGAGCTGTTCATAGGATATTCAAGTGGTAGTGTCCAGTTGACAGATGATATTACTCAGAAGAGAGGTGTAAGCTAGAAATACATATTGGGAGCCACAGCACAGAGAAAGTACTTCAAATCATACATATAGATGAGAATTAACAGAAACTGTATGAAGTGGGAAATCAGGGAAGAGTCTAAGATGAATCTATGGTAACACAAATGTACATAATGAATAAGCTTAGAAAGAGGTGTCACAAAGGAGAACAAGAAGGAAAAGCTAAAGAGATTCATTTTATTCAATATAATTCAAAGAATATGGTTATATAGCAACAACAAAAATATGTCCATTATGTGGCAGGCACTATGCTGGATGCTTTATGTGTATTAACTCGTGCCATCTTCAGAGCAATTCAGCTAAGAAGGTTCTATTACTGTCATCCATATTTGATGGAAAAGAAAACTGAAGCACTTGAATATAACTTGCCAAAGGTTATGCAGCTGTAAAAGTGAGCCAGGATTTGAAGATAGTTTAGCTCCAGAGTCTGTCCTCAGCCATTATGCTATGCTATCTCTCTGTGCTAAGATATGATTCGACTTACAGAGAGACAGAAGGAAAACCAAGAGAGAATTTGATGTTCCAGCACTCAAAGGAGAAAAGAATGAAAAACAGACAAATGTTAAAGAAAAATTAAGACAATGATAAAGGATTGTAAAAGTACACTGGAATTGACAATTAGGTAATCATTCTCATCCCTTTCTCTGCTTTTATTTTTCCATAGACCTTACCACTATTTGACATACTATATATTTTCTTATCTTTTTATTGTCTGTTTACTTGCACTAAAATATAGGCTTAATGAGGGCAGGAACTTTGTTTTATTCACTGCTATCATCCCAGCACTTAGAATAGTGCCTGGCACACAATGGTGCTCAATATTTTTTGAATGAATGATTGTAAAGTGCTACACCTACCTAAATAGCATTGCTGTCCCAATTTTTAAAGTAATTCTTATTATTAAGATTTTATTTTTACAGTTCATAATTTTTCCAAATATGTTAAGTATTGAATAATCATATTAATAAATAGGAGAGAGAACATTTACAGTAAATATTTCATGCACATTTAAAGATTGCCTGATGTTGCAAAATAGGTCCTGAAAGGGACTACTTAAATACTGTGAAACCTGTGAAAGCCAGAACTTGATGGGACTGCTTTGATTTTCCCAGTCTCACAGGTTTTCTGCCTTTGACAAGGTGCAGTCTTACCACTTTTCTGTCACTCTCTGTTAGTGGAAAGTATTTGAATTTTCCTTATCTGATAGGTTTCCACCTTATATGGGTTCCAGCTTTCGCAGGCTTTACTGTATATGGCATTGTTGGTATGATGATGATGGTGGTGGCAGAGGTGACACTGCTGAACACTTCACATGCATTAACTCATATAATTCTCACAACAACCCTATCAGGCACATACCATTATCATCCCCACTTTACAGATGAGGAAACAGAGAAGTTGAATGATGTGCCTAAGCTCACATAGTTAGTTAGCGGAAGATAATGATAGAGGACTTTCTCACCTGTTTATTTTATCTTCACAATCCCACTCATCCATCCATTTTTCCAACAAAAATGTATAAGCTTATTTTAACAAATTAAAAAAACTAAAGCAGAAAGTATAAAAATCTTACTCTAGATTATATAACTTAGTGGTAGAATTAACTCCTTTATACATCTCTTGGTTATAAATCAATTAGTGACCACATTTCAAAAAATGCTTACTGTTGGTGTAGAGGATTTTTGCTAGAGTCATTTCCAGTACAGCCCCACGGCTTCCTGCGCCAATCATGTGCAACTGTGAGATTAAAAAGAGAAAGAGTTAATTAAGTCTGCATATAGTGCCCATAATTGTATGAAATGAATATGTAATCCTTGCTTTTATAACTCTTACCATTTTGGACATAGCAACCTTAGTGCATATATATCATTTCACTAGTATTTTAAGTTAATGAAGTTTGGGGACAATGTTCTACCATATCTGGAATTCATAAATTCTATTATAAAACTGTACATTAAAAAAAAAAAAAAACCCAATGTCAAGTGGATTCCAATTCATAGTGAACCTAAGGGACACAGCAGAACTATCCATGGGGTTTCCAAGACTGTAGATCTTTACGGAAGTAGACTGTCACATCTTTCACCCAAAACTGTACATACACACATATATTCACACAAGAAACAGTTGACATAAAACTTAAGATCACGAAACATGAAATGCCTTCACCTGTATTGTCTATATATTAAAATACTTATTCTCATAAAGGTATTAAGCAGATTCATATAATAATCAGAATAATAAACGTTAGTATAGATAAGTTACAGAAGTGGTAACAAACCTCATCTACAACAACCAGACCCAGATTACTAATTCTTTCAGTTTCAATCAAGGAGTTCACCAGACTATGTCCTTTTTCAATAGTGGCAATATATAGTGATTTCTTTTCCCTTCTTTTAACTGGAGGAAATCTTCCTTTGCTTCCAGCATATTCTTCAACAAAGAAACCCAGCTCCATACCAAAAGTTGACAAACCTGAAATCTACAATATTAGTTAAAATAAACAATAACAAACAAACAAAAAACAGATAAATAAGAACTCTACTTGCTCACAGGAATTTTAAAAAGCTAACATAGGGTTTAATACCAATCAATGGTAAAAAGGTCACACATAATACATATATGAGTAAGAAAAGCCACAAAATAAATGCTGATCTTTGCAAAATGAATGCAACTTTTGAACTACATAATAAATGTGAAAATAAATTCCAAATATCTCTTTTGATGTAAAAAAGCATCAGAATAATTCTTTGATAAAGTAATTGGCTAGTTTCTGCTTGAAAAAGCAGGCTAAACATCAACAGAACATTTAAGAGGGAGTTTAATCCACCAGGTTGGAGAAAAATCTAAAACTTTTTACAACAGGTAATACTATTAGAAGAGATCTTAGATAAGTACTCCATACTTTTGTACATCCTGAAAATGACGCTTCATCCTTAATAAATGTACCTCTTCTCCGTTAATAAAAAAACTATTACTTTCATTATAGCTTTTAAATCTTAATGTCAAAATATTAGCAAATAATACTTATTTAAAAAAAAAAAAACACACCTTTTCTTGGACAATTGCTACATATGGTAGGATCATTAAAACATCTTTCCGCCGGCAAAGAAGTTCTTGTAGCATTAAAATCTCAGCTACAAGAGTTTTTCCACCACTCGTTGGCAAGGAATATATTAAATTTTTTCTTTCTTGCACAGAATTCAGAGTTAAGCAAGTATGTTGCCATTCTGTGGAATTAAAAAAAAGAAAGCATTATTTTCCTCTTCTACAATCTCAATCTGAAGACAATTTACTAAGAAGGAAAAATCAAATCCCACCTTGTGTGGCAATCTTCTCATAAGGATAAATGTGATTATACACCAATATGTTAACTGTCAAAAATCCCAAATGTTCTATGTGCACAGCCAGTGAGTTTAGTTCAGACCTAGTCAGCAGAGTAGGCAACCGGCCCGTCTATTCACCAGCTGCAGGCTTAGGCCTGAGATCCTAGCGGAGCAGGCAGGCAGCGGCCTGATGGATGAGGGGCATCGCCTGGAATGTCAGAGGAGCTAAAGGACAGTACAAGGACCTGTGTAAATCCTAAGGGCTTCCTCTTATGTTCTGCAAAGGGATTATGTAAGCTTCTCTCTTTCATTCACCCAAATACCATCTTAGAGAGAAATAGGCGCAGGAGGAAAAAAAATCTATGAGGTTTTGCAAAAACCAAGAAAGACAACGCAACTCGCTCTGATGGGGAGTTGAACTGTGAATGGCCTGAATACTATTTTAAACTCTTTAAACCATAAAAGACTGCAATTGTTAACTAAGTCTAAGGTTCCCAACACAACGTAGCAAGGTGGGACTCATGAAAAGTATCGGATCAGGTCTGAGACATGGCCTGAAAACCAGCACAACTACTCTGTAGGATGATTTGACACTGGATCATCAAAAGTATTCAAAACGTGCATCAGTATTTATCAGTTGAAAAACGGGCTAAAGATAACACAAAACATTTCACAGCAGAAGAAACGCAAATAGCCAGTAAAAGATACTCAAGTGTTACCTACTGGATTGGCGAAATAGAATATAAACAAATAATTACCCCCAAAATTCCACACATGTAAAATCCAGAGCTGACTACAGTGGTGAGAGATAGGCATTCTTATGTATAGTTGGTGAAAGTGAAAACTGCTAGAATCTATTTGGAAAGTAAGTTGCCAGTATCAAAAATAAAATTGCACATTACTTTTGATCTAGTAGCATTATTTTTAGGACTCTGTACCCATAAAAGTAAGAGGAAGAGCATACAGAGATTATGTGTAAAATGTTAACCACACCATTGTTTATATTTAACAAAGTGCCATGGCGGGGTGGAGGGGAAGGTTGAATGTACTGCACGATCATATAAGGTTGAATGAATTATTGAACAATCATAATTCTTTGCAACTTAAAAATGGGGAACAGATCTATCTATATATGTTCACTATATAATTAAGAGGTCCTCAATATACAGTTAAGTAAAAAAAGTAGATTATAAATGTGTGTTGAATAGTATGAACTCAGTTATGTAAATATTAGAATATAAACACAGAAAAAGTTAGGCTTGAATATATTACCTTTGCTTTAAAAAAATTAAAAATACGAATAACAAGTACATATTACAGGATATATTACAAAGATATTAATAGCTATCTGTGAATGACAGTTACAAATGACTTTAATTTATTGTGTTTCTTTGGTAGTTCCCAAATATTTACAAATGACTATGTATTTTTTTTAATTTAAAAAATATTATTTCTCCAAAACATAATTTACTTCAGATGGGTATCATCTATCAGTAATCAAACTGCTTATACAAAAATATAACTTTACCATATCCACATTTTATCCAATTCAGATTTTTTAAGTATAAAATGACAAAAATAACTATGTAACAATATCATTCATCTTGAAACATTAAAAAAAT